TCCTACGCCTCAAGCCCACGTAAAGTCCCTCCTCAGCCACAATGTATGTCATGCTTTGTCTGCGCTGCTCCTCCCTGGAAATCCCTGCTCCCTTAACAAGGTACAGCAGGCCTGTCAAACCATGTCTGTGGACTGCTTAGTCCAGCTGTGGCGTACAACCCTCCAAGTAGTAATACGTCTCATTGTTATGCCAGAGGTGGGAATCTATTACAGGGAAGGAAGACCAGGGTCAATTAAAGCAGGGCTGGAAAAGTCTGTGAGTTAACAAGCAAATATCCTGCTCATTGCTCCCAACATCCAAAGCTATAAGAAGTAAATGCAAGTCTGATCATGTTATCATTAGGTGTTTTCAGACCAAACAGCTCTAGGTACTTGCAAGAGGAACTGCCTAAGGAGCTCCCCAAGAACTGCGGACTAAAATACAGTTGGAACACTGACAAGATGTACTGTACACCATCCAGCAGTTGGTAGGCTATAGTGATGCCACTTTTACTTTGACGAGTCAGAAATGCATCATTTGTCCCCTGTTGCAGTAGAGCCTGGAACTCACTGCTGGTTAATTTGTCCATGTCTTTTTCCATTTTTTTTCACTATAAAATGTTGTTGATTTTGCATGGCCACTGGCAGCTACGGTAATTAGAGACCTCACCTAATAAATTCAGGACCATAAAGGACCATAAATCTGTACTTGCAGAAGCGTCCAATACAGCCGTAATTCCTCGAGATACCTTGTCAATTATTTGAGAACATGATGACCTAACTACTCTGACAGATGAAGAAACACAAGCAGTCAGACTAACAGAAACACTAAAACATTTCGTTACTCAGCATTGCTGCTTAAGCTGTGGTTGAACTGTTGTATAAAAGCAATATCACACTCAGGGTCGTGATGTTGTACTGTATATCGTATATCACCTGCGGCCTCGTGCCTAGGACCGAATCACAACCGTGACGATATACAGTACAACATCAGTCCCTCTCGTGTGATATTGCATGACACAATGTAAGCTCAGACATTTAGTTGCCTCTCTGGCAGCTCTGCCATATTTGTACTAAATTTGGGCTTTATGTCTATTTTGCAAGTGCGTGCTGCTTTTTTGTTTGTTTTTTTGTGGCGTTGCAGGGGTGGGTAATGCATTGAAACGCATTACAAGTAATTCAAAGGAAGTCAAAATGTATTTTTTTTTATTATAGGAACGAGTACTTTTTATGTTCCTTTTTTTGAAGTGTACTTTTACTTATTGCTCAAATATATTTTTAAACTGGTAACCTACTTTTTACTTAACTATGTTTGCCGTGACGATATACAGTACAACATCAGTCCCTCTCGTGTGATATTGCTTAATTATACATCCCATCAAAGAAGCCACTTGAGACCAGGACAACTCCACCTCTGGGCATTGCTATATTGTATGCAAATAGGTTCCTATATGTCTGTTACTGCATAGTATGTATGGGTATGGAGCAAAGTTGAAGTTGATAGTGTTTCCTGGGAGTAAAGTACAGTCTGTGAATACATTTGTAATAAATCATTTGGTGGTTCAAATTTCTTGATGAGATTTTGATGTTTCCCCTTACTCTCATCCAATTAGTGACTTGTTCCCATTTCTTTACGTCAACATTCCAGACTTTGGTCACACCCATTACAGGACCTGTAGCTTCCTGTAACTTTTCATATAAATTGGATATGAAAGCCCCATATTTAGGTTCAGTACATAGAAGCTTAAGAAGCAGGTGTACAGAAAGAGAAATATTGCATGATGGATCTCCATAACTTTGAAAAGCAGATTTCAATTGTAAATCAAAATAAAAAGATGTTCTAGATAAATCATATGTGCTTTGACAATCCTTGAATGGTCTCAAGCCTCCATCATTCATAAGGTGGGAAAGAGTATGGATGCCAGCATTAGACTACACTGCCTTTCTTGTGATTTTGCTTAATTGTCTGATTAGTCTACCTGCTCTAACAAGGTTTTATCAACAAGTGCTGTTTTTTGTCATTATTTGGCAAATAATATCATATTTGCAAATGTAATGTATCTGTGGTTTTCAGAAACGTAAAATGCCAACCTTTTGTCTGGCAACTGGGTTGGACAAAATTTGGGGTATCAGGTGTACTATTTGGTACTGGAAAAAAAGTCACAGCATGTGCCATTAATTTTTGGCTTAATGTCAATCTTTACTCTAACCAAATTAATTGAACCATAAGTGTTCCAGTGCTGGAAGTCATGTAGTGCTGGAAATGAGTCAGTCAGATTTAGTGTGTTGTTGAATGCAATCCAACACACATGGATAGCTGTCATTTGTAAGATGGAACCTGAGAGCCTCTGCCACCAGAATGGATCGCTGCAACTCCCCTGCCCAGTGAGTTAGAGTTGTATCCAGGGACAGCTAAAAATAGGAGAGCACTGACAGAAAACACCATGGGTCATCTTCTGACGGAGATTAATTATTGCTGTTTGTCTCTAAGGAGTGTGTTTTGGAGAAGGTGGTGTGTGTGTGTGTATGTGTGTGATTGGATAGATCTGCCTTCCCAGCAGCAGTGACAATACAGCCGTGCTCCCTACATACACATCAACATTAGTGCTAATTGGCAATGTGTCATCTGTGGCTATCTGAGCTCTCGGCTGCTCAGCCAGACTTACTGCAAAAGCAGGTCTGCATGTCTGCACACACACTTTCCTATGAGTGCACATAACCACACATAAACACACACAGATTCCAGGGTGGAAAAGCTGGTGTCTGGTGACATGTATGGAGATAATTCCTGATGAATGAGCCATGTGCATTTTGTCATGTATTCAGACTCCAGACACAAACTTAACAATTCTATCAAGTTCTCTGGTGCTCATTAAAAATAGCTCCAAACTGGCACCTGATGCCCTGTGTATTAGTTTCCTTCGTCATTACCCCTATCTGAAAAACCCCAAAACAAACAAACAAAAAAGAACAAAACACAGGACCAGCTCCTTATGTCTGGCATGATGTGAAACACACCTAGGGGTGCTCTGTCCTCCTCTGCCCCAGATATTTCACCAACACTCGCTTTCTCCCATCCAGCAAATAGTCAAAGTCACCTTGACCAGAGACACACAGGGGGGGATGCTGCTATTCTGGTCACTCTCAGAAGCCCTCATACTTCTGATTAATGAGGAGAAATCAGTCCAGTTGATCTCTGGCCCTCTTTCACTCAGGTGCACTACTACACACTCACTTATTATGAATACATTCATAGTAATATTAACTTATCTTATAGGTTTTTAATTTTATTTTTCACCACCCTACATGGCAATCACCATTTCATATTTATAATAAGGAGGACGCCAGGATCAAGAGGGCCACTGCTATCATTTTTAGATCTGTTTTTTTTTTTTCCTTTTGGTTTTTCTATGTCAACCCACACAGAGACAGACACATCGGAAATGAGACATTTGGACTGTCAGAATAAAAGTATTGTCATTTTGAGTATTGTATTTGGAGCCCCTCCAACATTCTTTTCCTAGTGTGACCCTCATCTGAAGCCATAGAAACAGAATGAGGCCCAAAAAAAGGCTAGGCAGCAAAATAATTATATTGTGAGTTTTTGACAGACACTGCATGTGAACTGCGATTTCAGTGGGAGTGGTAATTATTGCATTTCATTTTAACTGAAAAAAAGTAGCCCTGTGATAGTCTGGCGACCTGCCCAGGGTGTACTTCACCACACCTCTTACCCTGAACAGGACAAGCGGATACAGACAATGAATAAATAATTGAAAAATAATTTAAATGATGACATGATTTTTCCTGGGTTCTGTACCAAACAATCATATTACCTTACACATCTAGAATGTTTTTTGTAGGCCGGGCCATTTCTGCAGTGCTACAATGCTTCATTTGTCATGGTATGTTGTGACACATTTTACTTGTACCAAAAAATTGCAACCTCTGCAATCTGGGTTTGTACTTGACCATAGTACGATTTCAATAAAATATTTTGATTAATTGCACAGACCTAGTAATACTTATAATCTATACTAGGGAAAACACATCCTCTCATATTCAAACATGCTCAAGCAACAGGCAACCATGTACCAATGCCAGAGATAATCATTAACAAATGTAATGATAATCATGCATAAATGTAACAAATTGCCATTATTATTACTGGTTGTAGTCCAGTATTACTGGTTCTAGTATGAGGCTGCTTAAGTTCTGCTTGTGGCTTGTGCAAGTGGCAAGTGGAGTACCCCAGCAGAAGCCACTGTTTGACTGCTGAGGTACAATCATTGTTGAACACTGTACTTTCTCTGTATTTACATTACTTTCGCTGCACGAGTGCTGTCATAACAAATGTCATTAAAAATGTCATAATATAATGTCACTTTAAAAAAGGCACAGTGTGTACATATGCTACCTCCCTGAAATGATTTTTGTTTCAAAACATTGTAAAATGGTCAGTTTAGCTTTCTCCTGTGGAGAATTCTCCCCTGACCCCCCTCAAGGGTTGGGTTGCAGATTTTAAATGTTCCCTCACAGTGTTAAATGGGTGATTACAGCCCTGGATAAATGCAATAAATAGGCTGCATTCACTTTGCCAAGAGGGCTCTCTGCAGGAAATTGATTTTTTTATGTAAAGGTTAGGGAAAAAATGTAGTTTGGGTTAAAATGAAAAGATTTCTGCCAGAGTGACAAGTGTGCAAATCTAGATCATTCTGAATCAGCTACAAGAGTTATTGTTGTAGGTCACTTTATTCTATATCTCATTTAAAATATGGCCAGAAATAAACCATTAAACCAACTAACCAGCATGCACAACACATGAAAAACCCTATATGTAAAGAACAGTCCCTAATTCAAGGCATTAACGGAAACACGGTTTCAAGATATATCCTAGTCTGGAACTTCTTTTTTTGCCAATGAATACATTCCTATCATTTTATTTTTTCTACTTCCTGTCGTATCTGGGCTAACTCTGTGCTCTTCACACAGTCAGGTGTGTGTGCTACTCTCATAGACTGTATAAGGTTACTCTGTGTTTGCGCTGCTGTGTTTGCGGAGTTTTCTGAGCTGTGTGCGGGCTCTGAGCTCTGACAGACCCTGGAGGACATCTGTGTGAAATGTGCTGGTAGTTTTATTGACTTTAACAGACATGGAGCCTCCAGATTTCGAAGCCATGAACTTCACGGTGGAGCCGGCGGCGGCAACGTACCCGTTATGTGAGGAGTGGAGAGACTCCTCGGAGGGCTCCGTCTTCCACCTGGCCAACATTTTCCTCTTCCTCGGCTTCATGGGCGGCAGCGGCTTTTATGGGCTCATCTACCTGTTCACCTTTCTGACTCTGGGCTTCTTCTGCACCACTCTGTGGGCCTGGACGGACTCGTGCACCACCGACTCGTTCCTGTGGAGTTTCGCGCTGTTCGGGGTGTGTTTGGGACAAGTGCTGCATGTTGCCTACCGGCTGAGGAGCGTCTCCTTCGAGAAGGAGTTCCAGGAGCTTTACAACTGTATGTTTAAAAAACTCGGAGTGTCGCTTACACATTTTGGGAAGATAGTGGCCTGCTGTGACGGAGACATCCACACCATAGAGAGGGACCACTGCTTCGCCATAGAAGGGAAAACCGCGATAGACAAGCTGTCGGTGCTCCTGTCTGGCAGGTGACTAACTTCCATCACCCCTATGCCAATACATTCCTACATCTTTAAAATGTTTTGTTTAAAGCTAAAAGATTAAAGAAAGAAAACGAAACTTTCACAGTGTGACGTTTTGCCAGATCCTGTCAATTCGGCATTGACAGTTTGACAGATTGAGTTTTTCCTCTAACTGGTCACCAGGCCACAGCAAAGGTTGAGCTGAGGTTATAGGTGCCACTATTTCACTTATTCCACATCTCAGTGCTCCGGTGGGACAGGGGGTCAAAGGGTGGAAACTAGTTTAGCATCTTTTTCTACATTCTGATAAAAATCAACTTTTCATTTTGGTGCACATTATCTTTACTCAACAGACATGGATCTGATTAACATAGGCCTACATGTTAACTTCTCAGTAATAAATCTCTAGTAGGCCTAATATATTTGATAAATAAAATGTTGGTCCTGCTGATGATTTAGTTTTTGACTGAAAGCATCTGATACATTCAGGGCTTGGTGATATGGAGAAAATTAAATATTCCGATAGGCCTATTTTTTTATCAGATACCTCAATATCAATATTACCATGACATTGCAGGGCTGGCACTTTCACAAAATATTTACACAGTGAGATTTTTGATGAATAGGTTAATCATCAGTAATATGATTAGAATGACTAAGCAAGACAAATAATAGAACAGCTACAACAGTATGGTGAGATCATAAAATGGCATAACTTTACTGTAATGCAGTGTTTGAAGCCAGCAAAAGACAGTACTTATGATATTACCCTAGGAGTGGGAGAAAAAAATCGATACAGCATGGTATTGCGATATTTTTGTGTGGCAATGGTATCGTCACACAGTGCCAGGTATCTGTTTTGTACTGTACATGATTAATATAATATACAAATTAAATTTTAGGTAGCCTACTAGAATAATATAATCAGCTGCTTTTTCAGTCCACTAGATATAATTTGCTGCCGCTCATCTACCTGTTCACCTTTCTGACTTATTGCCTTTTTTCAACTGTAAATTATGACCCCAAAGTAAACTTTGTCAACATCTGATGTAAATAAAATGAAATTGTCAGTCACTTCAGCCAAATGTATAGAGTGGACTGAAAAAGAAATTGATTATATTATTCTAGTAGGCTACCATAAATTTAATTTGTATTTGAAATAATTTATAAAATAAAAAATCAGTACTTGGCACTGTGTCATGATACGATATTGCCACACAAAAATGTTGTGATACTGTGATGTAGCCTATCTATTTTTTCCCCCACCTCTACCAAACTACCAGATCATAATCAGCAACCATAACATCAAAGTCTGTTTCTTGAACAAAAGGGATGTTTTTAACCAGATGGTGTTTTTAATTCTACATTTTTTAACACATTATGCCTATCTTGCATAAATTTAACAGTTATTTTCATACAGTCATACTAAGTGAGATTCATGCCAAAAAAATTTAAGTGGACAGGCGGGTGAGCAACCAATCTCAATGTGACAACCATTTGGTTTTACTTTTGTGACCAATAGCCCATATTCTTTTTATTTTCTTTGTCAATTCCTACCTTACAATGACGTAAAATTGATGGTAGAAACGCGCAGGACAAAGTATCTAAGGGTACTTTAGGACCTAACCTGTTTGGTTAGTTTAAAATGAACTCGGGTCTGTTTGTGTGGTTAGTACAGTTCGTTTGGTCTGGTGCGAAAGTTGTTGATTGAACCCTGGTGAGCACCAAACAACCAAACAGAGACCGCTCAAACAAGTGGGTCTCAGTCTGCTTCCAGATGGACTCTGGTGTGGTTCATTTGTGGTGTTAAAGACAACGAACCAACCACAGGATTTTATGATAGCAGATATGTGATTTTAGCATGATTTTAACAGCTTAAACAGTAATAAATCCATCTGCTGATTAGGGCTGGGTATCGATTCAGATTTTCCAGATTGATTCGATTCGATTTTCAAGGACTCAGTCAAGTATATTTCAATTATTGATACAAAATTTGCTTGGATATTAAGATATTTTCTGAGAACTAACAAAGTATATTTAACAAGGAACCCTCTGACCTGGTGCATTATTATTAAAAGTTTTGTTTACATTAAGAATTGACCCCAAAGCAGTACATTAGTCATCATGTACTTTTATTTAACATTACTTGACCAACACATACAAAAGAAATATTTTAAATTAAATCTAATCACAAGGCAGACAATTTAAATGAAGTGGCTACAAAAAATGTAAACAAAGGACATCCACAAGTTTGCTGCCTGTAACCGTCTTATAAAGCTTTTTCCGCAATACACGACAGTGGCTGTGATGCACACATTGACTGTATCAGAAGAGAAACAATATACGTAGGTGAACCCTGCAGCAAAGTGAACCCTCTTCCTCAGACAGGATCTTGGCCTCCCAGTTTGTTCCTGGCGGCAGAGCAGAGTGAACCGTCTTTCTTCTCAGAGCATCTTTGTCCCATGAGAGCAGGCACGCTGCTCTCCATGTCCGTGAGACATGTCTGGAAACAACGTTCGCTGGCGATTTGACAGTCACTACAAGCACATTATGACCCTTTGTAAAAGTTTCTGTGTGGTACCTGTGTTGTACATGAGCTAACGTTAGCGGCTAAGGACTGAGAGGCTGTCCGGTATGTGTGTGTGTGTGTGTGTGTCTGAGTGTCTGAGGAGCGTCAGTACGTTAGCTTGTTAGCCGTAACGTTAGCCTTGCTGTTTGTCATGTTAATGTTATCGTCGGCAGCCCTGAATAGCTTGTAAAGCTTTAGCATAGTTAGTTAGTTAGTTAGTTAGTTAACACATTTGTTATTGGCCCATGTAGTGTTGTCACGATACCAAAATCTTTGTTTCGGTACCAATACCAATATAAATTTCGATACTTTTTGATACTCTTCGGTACTTTTCCTAAGGAAAAGTCCTTTTGGATACAAACCTTTAGAACAATAAATAGTAGGGGTGTAACGGTACCAAAAAAATCATGGTTCGGTAAGTACCTCGGTACGGACATCACGGTTTGGTAACTCAAATGTTCCACCAAGTTTGTTTTGTCTCGTGTTGTCTCTCTTTGCGAGGCAGACTTTGTCTCGTCTTTTTTCATGTACGCCAGCTGCGAATGTTGATACAGGTGTTGTCATACACACCACTTGCACAATATATGCTCCAATAGGAACAAGGAAGGCGTTTGTGTGCATAAATGAATTAAATAAATGAATGAATTGAATCAATTTAAAAAGTACCGGTATTTTCCAAATGCAGTATAGTACCGTTTGGAATATTCTAGTACCATGGTACTATTTTAGTACTGGTATACCGTGCAACACTAGGCCCATGTGTTTACTGCTACAGAAAAATACTAAATCTTTGGTTTATTTGCACAACGTCGCCTCTCTGCCGTCTTTTATCACGCTTACTAACGCAAAGTTAACTTTACCAGCAGATCTGTATGAGGTACAAACTGAGGCTACAGTTAGCAGTGTGCTGATGCTTAGTGGTATTTCTTAATCTTTTCTGTGAAACTGATGTGCATTTAATAAACATGCATACATTATAGCGTTATAATTTTAGTGGAAAATGCAAGTGAAAATACTCGCACCGTAGACCCATGCCTTCAGTGGACGCGCTCCTACCATTGTTTGCTGCTCTGTCTTCATTCAGTGTCCGGCCGTCTCGCGAGATCTCTCACCATGACCTCAGGTGTTAAATGCTGATCTCGCGAGACTACCTGGGTTGATAGTACTGCAGGCTGCTGCAGGCTGCTACTGGCTGTACAACACGTCCACGGAGGAAAATAGTCATAGTAAAACAACGATTTTTTAATTAATGAATCAATATTGTGCCATTTAAAGGAAAATCGATTCGAATCGATTAAATTGTTTTTTTCAACCCAGCTCTAAATCTTATAGTAGTGGTCTATCTTCGCAACATTGTGGTTTCGCCACAGCATATCCCCATCGATAACATCCACTGTCACATAATTACGAAGTCTAGTGTAAGAGCAGTTGGATTCTCTTGTCACCTTGGGTTCTCATTCACATCTTTCCTTCACCTCATGATGTTTTCCATCGAGGTCAAGGATAAATGTTGGCCTTTAGATGTCCAACATAAAGGGGCTTCCTAACTCAACACCTTGTCACACTAAACTGTATAAAGTCGGTAAAGGTTGAAACTCTTCAGCCTGCTGTACTTAAGGCAACACCCCACACACTGATGTCACATAGCAGCTGTGTTCCCTCAGCTGTTGGAGGCAGGACAGCTGCTGTGATCTGTATCACTCAGTATGTTTACATGCCCAGTCAAGTGGAGCTATGGTTATAGCTCAACTAGGCCATTTAATTGGACTACTGTCCTTGTCCCAGTATACAAGCATCGAGGGAGAATTGATTTATGAACCAAAGTGTGTCTGACTCTGCTACAGTAGGTGGCGATATGCCCCTTTTCAGATTTTTAGTATTGGACCTTTTTCTGGTTGACCCATTACGTCACAGCTACAGTTAACCAGTGGTAAACTGGTACCATGGTGGACAACTTTAAAGGTCTGTACATTTCGTCTGTCCAAAAATGCACGGCTCTGGATGTAGATTTTGCCATGTTGTTACCGGTTTCTTCTTCTGTTACCTATTTAATGATTTATTATGATTTTAGTCAGACCGACATGTATTTTAAAAGTCTGGTTTTAGTCGGACTAACACAATAAATCAATTTTCTTTAATGCCATATAATCGTACTGACCGATTTAAGTTAGCAGCAGATTTTGTGTTCGGTGTGATGTAGTGTTGACCAGCCCTTTATGTTATAGTGTTGGCCATTGGAGAGTGAATTAGTGAATAATAACTTTGCATCCATTCTTCTGCAGAATCCGTGTGACAGTTAATGGAGAGTTTCTGCATTACATCTACCCTTTCCAGTTTCTGGATTCACCTGAGTGGGACTCTCTCAGACCATCAGAGGAGGGCGTCTTCCAGGTGCATTTTATATCATGTACATGTGCAAACTAACTTTTCAAACATTAATAACTCAGGAGTGTCAGTTCACTGAACCCTGTGTTAGCAAGTATGGAACTGAATTTTAGACTCAATCTTCGTTACCCTAACAAGAACTCATAGTCAATTTAATATGCAGGTAAAGGATAAGGCTCCACAGCACATTCTGTCTTAATCTTGTCAACAAATCTGAAGGACTCAAACCAACTATGATTTGTTCCTACAGAGAATTATTGTGTGTATACCCAAAGCCTGATATTTCTTACTTCATACTGTTGACATTCATGGGCCTTTTTCACAACACTTTTGTCATGTCATGGCATAAAAGCACAGGTGTAACAGCATTTATTATGCCTGCTTTCTGTTTAGGTGAGACACTTTTAAGGTCCTGGTATTGTGACTGGTGGGTCACTGGAACGGCTCACTTGAGCTGTTGTGGAAAAGCTCCATTGTTGTCCGGAAAGTATTAAAACAAATCAATAAGTCACACTGTTGTACTGGCTGACATGTTCCTTCATTACCATGAATATACACACTGCAGTTTATTTTTGCTCAATCTCACATACACCATCCTGCTGCCACAAATACTCACTGGAGCATCAAGTGTGTATTAATCCACCACTTAAAATAGTCCCCAACAAATGCACAAGGTCCTCCTTTTTGAGTAATGCTTGTTGCAACCACATAGTAATTATAACACCTTTTTATCAATCAATCAATTTTATTTATAAAGCCCAATATCACAAATCACAATTTGCCTCAGAGGGCTTTACAGCATACGACATCCCTCTGTCCTTTGGACCCTCACAGCGGATAAGGAAAAACTCCCCAAAAAAAACCATTAAAAAGGAAAAAAAAACGGTAGAAACCTCAGGAAGAGCAACTGAGGAGGGATCCCTCTTCCAGGATGGACAGACGTGCAATAGATGTCGTACAGAACAGATCAACATAATAAATTAACAGTAATCTGTATGACACAATGAGACAGAGAGAGGGAGAGACAGAGAGAGTCTCAGAGACAGAGGGAGATGCAGGACTGACGGTAATGACAGTAGCTTACAACAACATTAATGAAAGTAATAATATTATAGTTATAGTTCTGGCTACTGTGGTACAATATGTTGAAAGTATATATTAATATCTGATNATATTTCCAGGTATGTTGCTGAATTTATTTTATAATGAGCAATTTTCTAATGTAGGTTGAGAATGAAGTCAGATGGGGAAAGTCAGGGATATCATGTACTGACATTGAGTGACGGTCCTGTCAGTCTACGTGTCATTCTCTTCTGCAGATTCTGATTTAATACTTTTTGGCTATGTCTGGTGAAACTCTTGTGGTTTTATTTATCTACTCATGGTACCTTTGGCAACAGGAACAATCCCTTTTTGTTCTGGTTACATGTTCAACACACAGTTGCTGAAGACAAAAATTTAGCTTAGACTGGTTGTTAGTCGTTACAGACACGGACAGTGCAACAGGTCCCAGAGCTCCGCAAAGACATTTTAGAAAATGCTAAGTTAACATTAGTTAAATATTTGTTAAAAAATAAATCAGTATTTGCTAAACTGAAGGCAAATTACTTTAGAAAAGAACCAGAGTTGGCAGTTAGCCGTCAAGAGTAGCCACTGGGACTAACCACAGACAGTCTATGGGACGAACTAGCTTAATGCTACTTCCGCTATCTCACTGGAAGTTGCACACATAATTATTTCTACAGTAGTGCCCTCAGGAATAAGATGGATATTGGTAGCAAACTAGGAGTGTGTCTCAAATCGCATACTTCTGTTAGTACACTTCAAAGTAGTGTACTATGTACACTGTACTTCTTGCGTGGTGCATTAATGTCAGCAGAGTAGGCTACTTTTGTCTCAAATTGTGCACTGCCATTTTGCACTTACCAGAAGTAATGTCGGCTTTGTTTTAACTGCCTCTTCTTCTTTGTCTTATATTTAAACAGCAAATTGCAAATGGACGGAGCATTATCGGCAACACTTGGCCACTATCTCCGCCCACATAAACCAAACTTATGCCACAGCGTCAATTAAGATGTGTTGCTGTAGCTAATAGCAAGTTAGCTAGCTATCGAGTGCTAACATTGGCTAGCAAGCTAACATTAGCACTCACATTATTGTTCGTTGTACCGAATCATTATAGACCCAACAAACATTACTGACGGCCTCTAGTACTTAGTGCAAAAAAACATGTATAACTAACAGGCTCCTTGTTGTTCCCAGCCACCATGTCAAAAGTTGAGAAGCTTGCTACATCACAAAGATGGTGACCGTTGAGGGTGAGAAGTGTCCATTATTCCACACTCAACTTTTGGAGTGCTTTGAGTGCCGTAGTAGTGCACTCAGTGTTGCCAATTTAGCAACGTTGTCTTATATTTGGTGAGTTTTCAGACCCGTCTAGCGACTGCTTTTCAAAAAATGCGACTAGTGACTTTTTCTTGTGTTATTGGAGACTCTTGGAGACTCTGACGTGAAAGCACATATCGTTCTTAAGGCCTTTACATACTCTGCAAGAAGGGAGAAATTTGCTCTCTCTCTCGCAAGCCTGCAAGAAAAGAATGACGTCATTTTTTTCTTGCAGCCCTGGTCTGGGAGTTCTTGCAGTTTGTTCTCCACACATCATCTAGGCAGAACTTTTTTCTTGTGTGGTGTCAGAGAACTATTGTGTGATTGGTCAAAAATCTGAAGTGGGCGTGGTTAATGTGGAAAAGCGTTAATGACGTGTGCGGCAGCGGGAGGGGCCTGTGAGGACTTCCCAGGAGCTCTGCACTTGAGTTTCTCTTGAACTGTCCTAGCCTGAAAAAAACTTTGTTCTTGTTCTTGCCACCTCGAGAAAAAGAACAAATTTCTCTGTTCTTGCGGAGTATGTACAGGGCTTTACTCTTCTCAACGAGTAGCTGGTGCTGCCGTGCACCCCTCGCATGTCACAGATCACTCACAGGCAGCCCAGTCCTCCCGCAGCAGTCCCTCCTAGCTGCAGTCAGAGCAGGAGATGTCAACCCCTCCACATCCAGACTGCAAATGAATCACGCATGCACGAAGCTGCCGCTGCCTGGTCCCACCCTGGCCTACTGTCCGGGCGGGATGTAAATGTAAAATTTTCTTTGTCTAAAAAAGTTCATTTGTAGTTCTAAACATATTCAGGGTGCTTTTTACTCAGTTTTTGTCTCTCCCACAACATTATTCCTCTCTCCTTCAGCATCCATTACAATTACATGCATATGGCAAATTATGCAAATTAGTTGATGACATCATTTAGCGACTTCAAGCAACTTTTAGGACAGCCATTGGCTTCTTTTCTTACTGAGGAGTTGGCAACAGTGAGTGCACTGCATTTTCCCATACTATGCAGTGTGAACAAACTTAGGGCACTCCTGCATTCAAGTACAGAAGTATGTGATTTGAGGCACATTGTAGGTTATATGTACACCTGATTTTTGGAACCAATCTAGGTGATGACTTATAAGTGTTTGTAGTACTAGTCAGTTTGATAAATTATCAGACTTTGATTATTGAAAACTAAATTTAAATGGAGTATTTGTTCTTAATTTTACACTGGGTTTCACAGTTTAGTCCATCTGTTTCCAGATCACAGCAATTACAACTGCTAGCTTAGATCCATGTTGTAATAAACCGGAAGCCTTTAACTGACACACATGGTTGCCGGCTTGTTTCCTTTCAGCCTTGTGTCTTTACTGTTTCCTCTTTCTGTTTTCATTCTCCACAGGTGACCCTGCGTGCAGATAACCCCTGCAGATATGTAGCGTGGAGGAGGAAGAAACTTTATCTGCTTTTTGCTAAGCATCGCTACATAGCTAAAGTCTTTGCCCTGGTAGTACGCAATGACATTGCAGACAAGCTGTACTCCCTTAATGACAAGGCTTTCAACAGGGCTGGGCACCGCTATGATCTCCGTTTACCAAGTTACTGTCACATGCCGGGGACCGAATTAGAAAAGGCAGATGCCTTACTGCAAGTGCCAGTGCAGGGGGCAAGGACTGCCTGAACACACACACACACACACACACACACACACACACACACACACTGCTCCAAGCCATAAACACTTAACTGACTCATTGCATGTAGGAATATGTGTCAGCTAGGTAGGGCTTGGTGTGGTTTTATCTGTACCATGAAGGGTAAGAGTTTCAAGTGATGCTATCTTAAATCTGCCTGCAAGATCATTACACGTATTTATATAAATTAGATAGGTGGAGCTGACAGACTTGTCAACAAACACAGTGTGCCAGGTCAAGAGAATACTCTCAAGGGACTAGACTAGGGTCATGTGACTGATAAAAAGCCTGAGACATCCACAGGCTTTCAGGTAGCCTTACTAACTAGGCCAATGTAACTTATAATGTTAGGAAGGAGGTTTTTGTTGGGTAGTTTGAGATAGCAGGAAGAAGCCTTTCAACATATGGGTCAGATTATTTTGTAAATAATGTGATGACGATGTACTCTGTGTGCCCGTCAGGGCAAATGTAGGCTTTAAAGGGATAGTGCACCCAAAAATGAAAATTCAGCCATTATCTACTCAACCATATGCCGACGGAGGCCCTGGTGAAGTTTTAGAGTCCTTACATCCCTTGCGGAGATCGGCAGGGGGGAGCGGCCAGCACACCTAATGGCATACAGTGCCCCAGTCTCTCCCTGCGGTGCACGTGTCACGTGATGTAAACACGGGTGAGCAAAGCTCATGCTTTCGCTGGTCTCGCACAGGCGCGCACACGTGAATGCGGAGCACAGAAATAGTCAGAGCTACAGGCTACAGTGAGGCTAAAAACAGAGTTCATATGATGTTTTTCGAAACAACTTTTTATGTCGCAGCTGCAGCACACTTGGATCACTATGGATGAGCAGTATGGAGATACTCTGTGGATTCAATTTTGTGTTCTTGGATGTTAGTCTGGGGCACAGTCAGCCATTAGGTGTGCTAGCCGCTCCACCCGCCGATCTCCGCAAGGGATGTGAGGACTCTAAAACTTCACCAGGGCCTCCGTCAGCATATGGGTGAATAGATAATGGCTGAATTTTCATTTTTGGGTGCACTATCCCTTTAAGTGAAGAGCTATTTTTTGGATACTTGTGCTTTTTGTCTTGTGTTTGATATTTGTTTAAGGGCCTTTTCACACCTCAATGTCTAAACCAAGGCCGAACAAGGTTTGCATATTTGGTACTTTGTATACATTTGATTCACACCTGACATACCTATATCCTGTCGTCATTATCTACGTAGCCCGCGTCTCTATGCTTGGTTTGTAGATGGCCTCTTCCCTCCTCTAATATCCTCTCTCATCCTCTTGGAAAATATTTGCAAAGTGTTTGAGTTTTTAGTGAGTTTTTCCAGCGAATGAAGTCCTTCCTCCGTGTACTATTGCAGCTCCTTTTGTTATGTTGCATTCTTCATGGACAAATTGAAACCTATTTCTCTTATTCTCGGATCATCATCACCAGAGTAATATTAACATTTTAATGCATCCATGCCGGTAATAGCTGTGGCCACAGGAATCATGTTTTCGGGTTGTCCGTCCACACGTCCCATCCTTGTAAACAAGATATCTCAAGGACACCTCAAGGGTATTTCTTCAAATTTGGCACAAATGTCTACTTGGACTAATCAACGAACTGATCACTTTTGGGTGGTCATAGGTCAAAGGTCAGAGCCACTGTGACCTCGTCTTGCTCATTCTCATGAATGTGATATCTCAAATCTGATTAGATTTTAGTAGTCAAAGGTCAGTGTGACCTTGCATCTGTCTCATTCTCATGAACACAATAATGATAACTTGACTGGTGTGCGGAGGCAGTAATTCTAGTTTGGTTTTGATGTCATTACTCAAAAACTATTTAGGGACAGTTGTTATGTTGGTAACTTGTATCTTTGTTCTGCTTGTTGACAGTCATGGAATGTTTTTGCAAGCAATGATAAAGTCTCAGAATGGACTGAAACATTAGATGTCAAATGTCACATCTGCTCTCACACACAGGGGTGACAGTAACAACGTGTAATACCTACAGATGAATACCAAGTACAGCAATAAACTGCCAAAGATGTAGATATAGTTCAATTCATCCATTAAACAATTAATTCCAGATTATTCAAAATTAATAATATAATCAAAGAAATATAAAAGCATCAGCCTGTCTGTTGGCAGACAAAGAAGGATCACCACAGAGCACGTTTCATGAGTTTCATGGTTCTATCTTGTTTCAGATTGGTGCAATTTGAAATGTTATAAACGTAAAAAAAAAAATCTCTAACCAAATTTTGAATATGAGTTTTATGGAGCCTGGAGGTGCTACGGAGAGAAAACAATACATAAAAAGAGGCCAATTTTTGTTTGTTTTTAAGTGTAATGTTTTTAAGTGTAATGTTACAGAGAGTCGGCACAACAGGGGTGAGGTTAGATTAATGTTTGAATTTTGTTTTTCGGCTATTATCCTCTGTATCAAAGCCTCAATTTCTCCCAGTTTTTGGATAAGTTGAAAAGCTAATTTAGGCAGATATTTCACAGTTTTAGTCAACTCACAATAATCAATTAGAAGAAGAAGAAGAAGAAGAAGAAGAAGAAGAAGAAATAAATAATAACAAATCATGGTTATGAATGATCTATGTCCTGACTTGTGCACATTTCAAGGTCGATAATAGCAAATGGCCCAGCTTGACTAGGTATTTAATTGGACTACTGTCCTTGTCCCAGTATACAAGCACAGCAGAGGAGTTGATTTATTTCACTTAAGTATCAATCAATCAATCAATCAATCAATCAATTTTATTTATAAAGCCCAATATCACAAATCACAATTTGCCTCACAGGGCTTTACAACATACAACATCCCTCTGTCCTTAGGACCCTCACAGCGGATAAGGAAAAACTCCCCCAAAAAACCCTTTAATGGATCCAATTGATTGTAAACGTGGGAGTAATTCCACTTCCAATTGCATTATGTGGGTGTGTTAGTCAGACTTTGAGAAATTCAATTTAGTATGATCTCAGTCAAACTAACATGTTGACATGTACTTTAAAAGTCTGGTTTTAGTCAGACTAACAAAATAAATTGATTTCTCTAATGTCACGTAAACATAATGGGCTCTAGTTTCCCGGCACAGCGCAGGTGGCACAGGGTGGCGAACCCCGTGCAGAGTTAGTTTCGAGCAGCGCAACCCGAGGCGCGCTCAGTTTGGTAGTTTGGCAGACCGAGGTGCGCTGAGATGGGTGTGGCGGCGCAGCAGGGGGAGGTGTCGACAGATCCAGCTTGGCGCAGTGACAGTTTCGTGCCAAAAGGCTTCACCGAAGGTGCGCTAAAAGCTCGCCAGCTGAAACCAGGTCTACTGTCAGCGCAGGGGGAGCGCAGCTGGTGTAAGCCGAAGTTTGGCTGACCAGCGGACAGTGCGCACATGTCACCAAAACCTCACAGGCAGGTTTCCAGAATATCAGGCACATTAACAATGCAATAAATAGCCACAAAACCACTATTCAATGCAACTATCTGCAATCAGCACATAAATGTATCTCTGTATCGACTGTCCCGTCACATCTGATGTCAGATCAAAGGGGATTGGCACCGTTTGGCACGTTTGGAAACCCAACCTGATTTGATTAACACAGCTGCAAACTAATGAGTTCACATCCCTCTCAGCCAACCACAAACAGCCACAGCATCAGATAGGGAGTATATATTCAGCATCTGTCATCTTAGAAAAGTCAAAAGAAAAGAAACAGAGTGAGACTGCCTTTGAGGTGAGGCTACCGTTGCATCATCAGCCCGTGGAGGTCTGCTTGCAGTTCCGTATATTCGGACACTGCCAGCTTGGACCTCCGGGACCAAAACATCAGTTTCCTCCTGGGAGAAGTTTGGCCGTCTGACGCTGCTGCTCTCTTCTGCCATGGTGCATTGAGTAAACTCTCATTACACCTTCGCACGGCGCATTTAAGGGCGAGGAGAGGGGCTCATTTGATTGGTGTGATGTGTGTAAAACCCACTCCACGCCTTCTCTCCTCCCTCTTTCTGACTTGCGCAGGTAGGAGGGACGGAGGTGGGAAAGAGGAGTAGCTGCGCCAGGGCGCACGGTGTGCCAAACTTACAAAATCCGCCTGGCCGCACCCAGTTGGCGAAGCGCAGGTGCGCTGCGCCCCTGTCGCGCCAGGTCTGCAAAACTAGAGCCCACTGAGTGAAGGACTCTGAGGGTGAAGTACCTGAACTATGGCCCTGCTTGAATCATACATTCATACAATTACCATCATTATACATGATGACATTCAAATACTTTAATATTGAATCATTTTTCAATCCATATTGTGACCCTGACATTGCTTTTTAAAAACGTGATGACTGTTAACAAGTCAAACAGATACAAATCTACATAAAAAATTCTATCCAAATAGAAGAGGTTTTTGAGTAATGACATTGTTACTACTGCCCCAGTCTCCCCTAATCAACTCTGCGTTTCCAGTCGCAGAGACCAAACGACTCAAATCCTGGAGAAATGCTGATTGTTTGGGGTCAGATCATGTTGGTCTTGTGGGGACAATACACAACAAGACAAAACTAAATGTAAACACTGTCAGGACACAGCCGAGTGTATTGCAGCCTCTACAGAAACGTTCAGTGCTGTGTGTGTGTGTGTGTGTGTGTGTGTGTGGAGAGCAAGGAGGGAGAGAGAGACGGTCTGTTTGTATTGGGGACAGTGAGCTGGATGTCATGTTAGCAGTAAACCATGAATGTAATTATGAATATTTAGTGTGAGCTACAATTTGTCAGAACTACCAGACCAGTGAACTCAGTCAAAAGCACACGCCCCGTGCACAGCACTGTCAGTCCTGATAACTTGGTGCAGGTGATGGAGGTGATAAATAGATGCACCGCACATAGGAGGACTTCTTCTTTTAATTTAATCTTCGCCCATGGCTTCATCAGGTCATCATCTATAGTGGTGTTCAAATAAATTGTCTCAAGTGTTTTAAGTCATCTAATTGGCTCCTCTGATCAGCCGTCAAACTGTTTAGAGCAATTTTCTGCCAAAAACAATCAGTGGCCGATTGATCGGAGCACATCTTGTTCTATTAGTCCTTGCTTGTCCCCGACTTTGGCTGCTTAAAGTAAAAATAGCAAGTGGGGAGATTTAGACAACTGAATAGTCATCAAAACTAGACAGATTTAAAGTCATAGACATTAGGCTATGACAGTGTGAGAGAAATACTGTAGATGAAAAAAAAGACTTTTATACCTTAAAATGAGTCTTGGCAGACAAACTGTGACAAGTATGAGATCAGTTTGTCCTTTACCAAAAAGAGGGGGATCATCACAGATCATGTGCATAATAAGTTTCGTGGTTCTGTCTCGTTCTGATTGGTGCAATCCGAGCAATTTCTCATTGGTACAACTGCCCCTGGTCTCCCCTGCATTATACAATTATAAAGTGAAATTAAAAGGTGTTTACAGATGTCTTTTAATGTGTAGTATTGACACAATAGATCAAAGACGACCGTTAATCTAACACTGCAGATGTGGAA